TGTTATCATTTTGTTCTCTTTGACAGTCTAGGGTCTGATGCGCTTGGGTGATGTTTGAAAAAAAAAGCTTACCTAGTTTGTATTATCTATTTTGAGAATTTATTTGTTGGTACACACTCATGGTTTTTTCGTTATTGTTGTATTTGCTGGGACACTTCCCAATACTGTTCTAGTTGTGCATGCTGTTTGTACACTAGCATATATGCTTTGTACAACAGCTGCTTCTAGTAGTTACTACTCTATTTTATTAATTTAAAATTTCAGTTTGGTGATTGTTGGAACCAAGGTTCGCAATACCGTACCGTACCGGAGTTTCGACCTGGGCTCGGTACCGATACGGTACGGTATACCGCTCGGTACACCCAGGTGTACCGAGCGGTATATTCAGGCGTGCCGAGTACTGTAGCAGTGCTACAGTGCTACAGTGCTACTACAGTATCACAGTACTGCTACAGTCAGGACCGGTAACAGACGGTCCGCGTACTGAAAGTCTGTCGGACCGGTACGTACCGCCCGTACCGGACGGTACGGACCAGTACGGCAAACCATGGTTGGAACATTATTCTTAACAAGCAAAGCAGTTCTCATTTTAGTTCTTTCCCATATGTGTTTTTTATTCCAATGATATGTATACATGTCCTGGGCTTTTGCTTTTTTGGACTGGGCTCTTATAGCTCACTTCCTTGCTTGAATTGTAGCATATTTGTGCCATGATATCTAAAATTTCAACTGTCTTTTACTAGGCTATTCTGACACCAGATGAGGAACAACACGGTATGCTCTTTTCTCATTTTCCCCTTAGCTTGATTATCATGTATGCTTGGACCCTTTCATTATATACTTCCAAAGAAGGGGAAAATTCAGTTAAAAAAAAAAATATTCTTGTTAATATCAATATCCATCTGCCAAAATACAGCATATTAGTTTCTTTCTGATTTTATCAAGGACTGTGTAGCAAAGACAATAAAGAGATTAGAGGAGAAGATTAATGGGCCAGTACGTTATGTTTGCTGTATTTCTTGGCTTATTGCAGTATATATTCAGAACGATAAGGATTTACTTTTAATTGGTGGATCTGTTTAATGGATGTAGACATGGTGTTCCTTGCCTTTTGCCCTTGCAGGTACTAAAGCATTTATTATATCTGATGCGAGTTGGAGAGAAGTCTGTCCAAAGACATATAGCTTTGGCTCTTGCTCATTTATGTTCACCTGAGGATCAAAGAACTATTTTCATTGATGATGATGGTACTGTATCTGTCCAGCAACCATGACATCCTTCTGATTTTCCTCCTTTTTATAACTAAGGAAATTAAGCAACATATTCTCAATGTAGGACTTGATCTTCTTCTCGAACTACTGGGATCGACTAATCTAAAACAACAGCAAGATGCATCAGTTGCACTTTACAAGGTAGCTAAAAAATCCCTGACTCTCTATTCTGTTGATGCAGCTTCTCCATCCCCCTCACCGCAGGTTTGCTAAAATAGGCATTCCTTAATTTTGTTTCTAAGCAGTTTTAGCAGTAAAACATGTCCCATATTCACAGAAATACAAAAACATATAAATGTTTTTTTGAATTGTCTGTCTTGACTCTTGAGACTAATCAAACATAAATATTACTTTATCAGTATAAACCTTTTTTCTAATTGGAGAATGAAAATTGTTTGCTTATCTACAATATCACTTATCCTGCAACAAGCATATGCTAGAAAGGAGATGCAAATTTGGGATCTAATTGTTACAAATCATTGGAGAAATTGAGGCAAAAGTATATGCCTTACGAGAAGGAATGGACTACTGGGTATTCTTATTAGTGAAGAGGAGGCATTAATTTTGCAGGTTTGACCTCTTAAGTGGATTGCTTGTGTTTGAAATCAGCAATCCTATTTTAGTTGAAACGAACATGGATACACTAGTATATTACTACTCAAGACGAAAAAAAAGAATCACATGTCATAATTGATATCTGAATAATCAATATCCTGAATGTTTGATGTTGGGACTTCATATGCATCCAATGTGTACAAATATGTTTTGCTACGTAACAAAACTTCTACATGCTATCATAGAGAAATACATGACAAATGCAAAGGCCCGACGAGTCTGTCTATTATGCTAGAACAGAGCTATATACCTGTAATAGTACTAATCAAGTTGTTCATGTAGGTGTACCTGGGTGAGCAGTATGTGAATAGCTCCACGCTATCAGATCTTACCTTTCTAGTTGAAGGTTGTGGACTATTCTTACCATATGTAGTTTTTTCCTTTAAACAATTGCATAGCACATTTAAAGTTGTAGTAACTTATGTATGCTACATTCCTCATTTAAAAGGAAGCTATTAGTTGTGTGTGCTAAATATCTAAATGTTCATTATCTGTTCTTTTCTAGGCAAGTGCTTTTATGCACACAGAATTGCTCTGCTTGCTTCTTCGGATGCATTTTGTGCAATGTTTGATGGTGTCTACCGGGTAAGGGAACTCATGTGTCAAACATGCTTGTTTTTCTTCATAATTAAACCCTAATCATGATCAGATGTTTAGAAATAATGTTGTCAAAAAACGACTAGTTTCTGATATAAAGAAGCTATAGCACGCGTCATAAATAAAGCATTTACATGCGATACAAAGAGGCATATCTGTCTGTTTTGATGTGCTTTGGTTACTGAATACAACAAAATGGTGAACAGGTTTTACAATTAGATAAATTAAATACTAAGTTGTCATCTCAAACGTTTGTTGCTTTGTAAATGTTAATGTAAATCCCCCATGGTCCTATCTATACATAAATAATCATGTAGAAGTGAGAATCGTATCTTTGATCACTAAGATTGTCTTAGTACTTGCTTGATGCTTGATGCAGAAATGTTGATTTGTAGAAAGTTAAAGTTTATAGTTTTTTTAATTCTTATGGACATATTTTAAAATTTAATTTTTTAAAAATTCCTGAATAAAAAATGGCATCATTAGTTCTACAACTTATTATGTCTGAGGAGTGATGCACTTGTCAGGGACAAGAATATGCTGTATGTTGTGAAATTTGTTTTTGTTTTGCATTTTGCTGCAAGAAGCATTAGTAAATCCATCCACTGTCTAACATAGCACTATGTCCAATGCGTGGAAGTTTGATGAAAACCTGTCATGTGAACGGGCAGTTACTATGCATAGCTGCACATAAGAGGAAAAGTTTGGGTTCTGCAATCATGGTATTATAAATTCGTGAGACTTCACAATGGCATATGTATTAATCAATATTCACTTTTTTTTTGCATATACTATTGGTGCGGCATGATTGCTTTAATAGGGTTTGGTTTCCTTGCAGTGCTCATATAGATACTTGCCTATTGACAACTTCAACTTGAAATGCTTGTCAGGTAGGCTGTACCTAAATGTTTCAAATTTTCTATTGCACTAACCTTGTTTGTGCTGAAATTTAGATGGATGAACTTATTTACTTTCTAAACAGTAATAAAAACATTGATATACTTGGAGAAATATATATTCAAGTGCTTAATGATCCATTTTAACTGACCTTTTGTTTTTAAAAATCTCAGGGTGTCCTCGATATCAAAGTAAAGATCATGTTGGATTAGGATCTTAAAGTAAAGCAGGGCCCCATGACTCCTTTGCCAGATCATGTTATAATTCATGCCCCAAAGGAGGAAGAGGAGTTAATCCAACCTCCTGTTCTGCCTCTAGAGATTTAATTTGAATGCTACAACTTTTGCAAAAGGAATTAGGATTACATTTCTTCTTGACAAGCTTGCGGCAGGTAACAAGCCAAAGTTCTTCTGATTTATGTGCTTGTACTAGTCCTAGATTAACACGAAGGAAGATTGGGAGTCTTTAGTTCCAATCTTGTCATG